CCACACCTAGCCAAGCACCTGAAGAAACTAGAGAAAGTGCAAAGGTTTCCAACAAGACAAGTCCCAGAGCTAAGAGGTATGTCCTACGAGGAGAGGTTAAGGGAAATCAACCTGACGACACTGGAGGACATGAGAGATAGGGGGGACATGATAACGACATACAAAATACTGAGAGGAATTGACAAGGTGGACAAAGACAGGATGTTCCAGAGATTGGACACGTAACAAGGGGACCAGTTGGAAGCTGAAGACACAGATGAATCACAGGGATGTTAGAAGTATATTTCTTCAGCCAAGAAGTAGTCAGTAAGTGGAATAGTTTGGGAAGCGATGTAAGTGGAGGCAGGATCCATACATAGCTTTAAAGCGAGGTATGATAAAGCTCCACGATCAGGGAGAGTGACCTAGTAGCGATCAGTGAAGAAGGCGGGGCCAGGAGCTCGGACTCGACCCCGCAACCTCAACTAGGTGAGTACAACTAGGTGAGTACACACACACACACACAACACACACACACACAACACACACACACACACACACACACACACACACACACACACACAACACACACACACACACACACACACCACACACACACACACACACACACACACACACACACACACACTATTTATTCATTTCATACATATACAGCCTCTCCTAACTTAGCAACATGCTTGTTTACCAACGACCCGGACTTACGATGGGCTCTCTGACCAGTATGCATACCGTAATACAGTGGTCCCTCGATAATAGTCGGGCTCGATAGTCGTCCTTTTGGGAAATCGTCGCGTTATTTTAGTCCAAACATTGGCTCACAAATGATCAGTTGACTCGCTAATCGTCGTTCATCCTGGACGCGTACTCACAGCTCTGAGCCGCCTCGGCCTCCCTTTCCAGCCAGTGTGCCATTGTTTACCAGTGAGCAACAGTCCCCTCCCGTGTTCATATGAAATATTTCATAATCCATTCATTTTAGTGCTTGCAAATGCTAAATAAGCTACCATGGCTCCAGAGAAAGCTCCTAGTGCCAAGCCTTTGGTAAAGGTGAGAAATACGATTGAACTTAAGAAAAACATAATTGAACAATATGAAAGTGGCATACGTGTGGCCGAAATGGCCAGGATGTATAACAAATCCCATACAACCATATCTTCCATCCTGGCCAAGAAAAAGGAAATCAAGGAAGCTGTTGTTGCAAAAGGGTAAATATGCTGACAAAAATGAGATCACCAGCACTCGAAGAGGTTGAGAAGTTATTATTGGTGTGGATAAACTAGAAACAATTAGCAGGAGATAGTCTTATGACGTCGATTATTTGTGAAAAGGCTAGGCAGTTGCATGACGATCTGGTAAAGAAATTGCCTGCAACGAGTACTGATATTTGTGAATTTAAGGCCAGCAAAGGTTGGTTTGAGAGATTTAAGGACCGTAGTGGCATACACAGTGTGATAAGGCATGGTGAGGCTACCAGTTTGGACAAAATTGCAGCTACAAAATTCGTAAGTGAATTCAAGGAGTACATAGAGGCTGAAGGACTGAAACCTGAACAAGTGTTCAATTGTGACAAAACAGGCCTCTTTCGGAAGAAAATGCCAAAGAGGACCTACATTACTCAGGAGGAAAAGGGACTGCCAGGACACAAGCCTATGAAAGACAGGCTGACGCTCATGTTCTGTGCTAATGCTAGTGGGGATTTCAAAGTGAGGCCGTTACTAGTGTACCATTCTGAAAATCCTAGAGTGTTCAAAAAAAAAAAATGTTATGAAGAGTAAATTGTGTGTGTTTTGGAGATCTAATAAAAAGGCATGGGTCACGAGGAAATTTTCGTCGAGTGGTTCAATTAAGTGTTTGGCCCTAGTATGAAGAATTACCTCCTGGAAAAGAAATTGGATCTCAAGTGCCTCCTAGTAATGGACACTGCACCTGCTCATCCTCCAAACTTGGATGACCTAATTCTGCAGGAGTTTGGGTTCATCACAGTAAAGTTCTTGCCCCTGAATACCACTCCTCTCCTCCAGCCCATGGTAGTCACTTCCTCCCAAGCCTTATAGGTAAGGCTTGGGAGGAAGTGACTACCAGGACTTTGAACTCTGCTTGGAGAAAATTGTGACCAGATTGTGTCCACAAGATGGATTTTGAAGGGCTTGTGGCAGACCCTGGTGAGCTTATGTCAGTTGTGAACTCTATTGTGGCATTGGGGAGTTCCATGGGGTTGGATGTGAGTTTGGAGGATGTGGAAGAGTTGGAAGACCACAACGAAGAGCTAACCACTGAGGAGCTGCAAGAGCTTTAGCAAGAACAGCAACAGATCGCAGCTCAGAATCTTGCTGCAGAGGAGGAGGAAGAGAGATGAAAGAAGGTGCCTTCAGAAATTAAGGAGATTTTTGAAATGTGGGGTAGGATGGAAAGATTTATGGAGAAACATCACCCTGAGAAGGATGTTGCAAGCCATATCGGCAACTTGTACAGTGACAGTCTTGGCCCATTTTAGGGAATTTTAGAGACACCAGAAACAGAGCTCTCTGAACACTTTTTTTTTTTTTTTTTTTTTTTTTTTTTTTTTGCAAGACAGGACTCCAATGACTCTCAAGCTGGTCCTAGTGGCATTAAAAACAGAGAAGAGACGTAACCCCAGAAAAGGACTTGGTACCTAAGGTGTTGATGGAAGGGGATTCCCCTTCCAAACAGTAACTAATTCAATCTCTCTCCGCCTCCAGTCTTCCATACACTAAGAAGAATCGCCAATAAAGGTAAGTGTTATGCTGTTAATGTTTCATTCATCATGTCCCATTGTATTGTTTATGTACTACATCTATATTTCATGTAAAAAAATTTTTTATTTTAATACTTTTGGGTGTCAGGAACTGATTAATTGTATTTACATTATTTCTCATGGAGAAAATTGATTCGAAAATCGTCTTTCGATAATCGTCGCACTTCCAGGAACAGATTAACAACGATAAACAGGGACCACTGTAATGTATATTAGAACTGATTTCCTCTGTTCTGTTTATTGCAATATACAGTACACTATTGTATAAACATTGTTCACTATTGTATAAAAATATACCAAAAATGTTATAAATGGTGCAAAGGTGACATTAAAACAATAACAAAGATGGTTGACACAAAGCCACTACCATTATAGTATGCCCCTTATTTAGTGATGAATTCATTTACACACGTGGTCTTAGGAACGGAACTCCATCATCGAGGAGATGCTGTGTGTATATATACATATGTAATTTATTTATCTTATTTTTTAGTTTTGTTTTTTGTTTATTTACCCCCCTCCCCCCTCAGTAGCCATTTCTCACCAGAGCAGGGTGACCTATAGACAAGAACTTATTCATCAACATTGATTCAATTGCAGTCTTTGCAGAAGGTTGCTGACATCAGTCACATTACCCTCCAACTGCAACCTCCCCACTCCTCTTTCAGAGTGCAGGCACCTCCCTTCCCACCTTTTTTAAACCCCTGAATCCCTTCATAAATGTTACTTTGCTCACACTAGGTTGTGGGGTCACCAAGGTTTTAATTCAAAGGGCTGAGGTGATTTGAGCATTTAGAAAGTATTGAGAGGGATATGATGTCAAAGAAGCTGTATAAATCTTGGATGGAAGGTAAGTGGAATAGGTTTCGACCCAGGAATAGTTGCAGGGAAGATGTGAAAGAGGCTTTGCCTCTTCTACACCTTGTGTTTATTATGCTTGTGTAAGCATAATAAACAGGAGTGAATAGACTAGTGTTTTTAATGAATTTTCTGTTGGAATGTGAGCAAGGTAACATGAAGGGATTCAGGGAAACCAGTTAGCCAGATTGTCTTGGAGTTGGGAAGGGCAGTTCCTGCCCTCTGAAGAAAGGATGGGGATGTTGTAGTTGGAGGGTACTCTGAATTGTTTTGTCAGAACACTTCTAGCAAAACAGTAAATGAGTGAATGATGGTGGGTATGTGTTCTTTGGGTCACCCTGCTTTGGCAGTAGACAGCCATTAAGGTAAAAAAAAAAAAAAAGTTATGCTTAGATCAGACATTGAATCTCTCGAGTAGAAGTGAAAGGTAGAATAATCATTGTCTCTTATATTCACCATCCCAGTCACACTTAGATCAGAACTTAAAAATCAAACTTAATCAAAACTTAATTGAAATCAGAGAATGGACAGCACACAAGAGTTGACAAATATGATGAAGTTCTTAATCATGCGAAAAAATAAATACAAGTCTATTAGGCAGTGGAACACTGTTGTTGCATTTATTAATGCTTGGGTTTTGGTCATAGTTGTCAACTACTGTATGTGTGCTGTCCATTGTGATGGTTTTGGCAGTGGATATGAAAGAAAGCATTATCATTTTTTGCCGCATCATGATCCCGACTTTTAATAAAGAGATTTAAGGCTAGATCCTTGCAGGACTGATGGAATATACAGTATGTCATCCATTTTAGGCAGAGTTGGTTAAACAAACCGAACTGGCTTAAGAATATCATTTATAAAAAACCCTGCATTGACACTTACATTTTTGTGAATTATCATGGTACTGTAATCATTTCTTTTCTATTTTTAATTTTAGGAACCTAACTTAATCTTGTTAATTTTAACATAGTGTTAATTGCCTGAATACTACCCAACATGTCTTAGGTCAGCTTGAATCTAGTTTGTATTATTTATTGTCAATAAATACAGTATATTAATTGTGTGATGCTCAGACTTATTTGTGTGCAACTATTGCAACATTGAATTAATACTCTGCTTCTTTGGCAAAGTGAACATTGCTCTGCCTGTAAAGCATGGCATATATGTATATGTACACTGCTTGATACTCTAGCTATACATTATGTAGGAATATAAACTTATAATAATTTTTGCTCATTCCTTGCAAATTTTCAAATTACATTTTATATAATTAATCAGTTTAAAAATCTATTGGTACAGCACAACAAATAATATTTTATCAGTAATTAGTTTAATTAAATTTGTAATGTATTATTTCACTATTTAGGTTATCCTGGTGGTCGACATTTGAGTGAGCGCGATCTTCCATCTAAAGTGCTCAGTGAGCACAATCAGGATCCCCCTGCACCCTCTCATCTTCACCAAGCCCCTCGTATGCAAGCATCGAAATCTGTCCCCTCACTTAACAGTAAGTGAACATTTCTATAATAATACAGTAACCCCTCAGTATTGATTGGATACTGATTTGAATGGGATCAGGCAAGTGTTTTGTATCAAAACAGTTGTGAACTGATGAGCTGATGTAGGTAACAGCTCTTAGCTTGCCAATAAAGTTAGGAATCCTTAACCTGTAAATAGCTTGTCAATAAAGCTAGGGATCCTTAACCTTGTCAAACCCTGTGTAAAAAAAAAAAAAAAAAAAAAAAAAGAAATATAATAATATCTGTATAATAGATTTATAATAATTTGCTTACCACTGGGCATAAAATCTATTTCTCTAATTACAGATAGGTAATAATAAATATAACCTAGTCTAAGCAGTAAAGACTTTTTGACTTTTGTAATGTTAAATTTATCATGCAGCTTTTTTATTTTATGTTTTACACAGTCTTTTTAAGAAATGACTTGATACATTACTACTGGTAGATTTCCCAGTGGGAAATGGCTGACATGTTAAAAAAAAAAAAAAAAATAAAAAATAAGGTACTACTGTCTTGTCATACAAGTGTGAAGTAGAATCTGCTAAATGTTTTGCACAGGCAAAATTGCTGGTTATTTCTTTGTTTCATGAACATAAAAGATGGCAAGTAAATCTTACAAATTTCTACATACATTCACTATTTACTTAGCTGTGCTTTCTTGTGATTCTTAATAGTTGTTATTCTTGTAATACTAACAATCATTTAAATGATAGAAAACCGTTATTCTCCATGGGGAAGTGAAGAAGAGTCCTTCCTCCGTAAGCCATGAGTGAGTAAAATGCAGAGAGCTGGTAACCCCTTCTCCTGTGTAAATTAGTGTAAAATGAAGAAAAACTACATTTTCTTTTTCGGGTCACCCTGCCTCGGTGGGAGACAGCCACTGCGTTAAAAAACTTAATAACAAAAAGAAACCCCCAGTATCAATTTATATCAAATGGTCTCGCTTATTCCATCTCTTTAGATGGAATAAGTGAGTAGCGGGTCAAAAATCTCCAAAACAAGTTGTCACTTGATCTCAGTTGATCTTATTATGGCAATGTAGTTAATGTAGGTCAGGTGACTGCTTATCTCCCTTCCAACTGAGTAGGCTATGTGATGTTGCACAGTGATATAGGTAGTTTGTCTTTAATAGTTTTTCCTTTCATTTTTGTGTTTACGTAAAATTATTGAGAAGAATTTTAACTATTCATTGAAAATATTTGAATGTTTCCAGGTGAAGCAGGCAGTAGTGTAGGAGGGAAGCCAGCTTCTCTCGAGGTGTTCAACCCTTCATACTCCCGTACCTCTTCCAATACCTCGCTGTCACAGCCTCCGAACCCTCAGTTTTCTCATCACCCTCATCACCATCAACAGCCACAGCAGCAGCAGCAGCAGCAACAGTTGCCACCACCACAGCAGCAGCAACAGCCCCCAGTCCGCTCCAGGTTAGTAAAGCAAGAAACCTTGAAGTACAGTAGACCATCGGAAAACTAGGTGCGTTCTTGAAAATTGGCATTTATTATTATTTTTTCCTAATGCCTAAAAAAGGCCAAACAACTTTTTTTTTTTAAATGTTGTAAAACATAAATTTTAATGTATCTGTATCTTCCTTTACATTGTAGTTGATGCTTGTTGACTTGGAAGCTTAAAAGAGGGTTGATGTGACCCTTCTGCGCTGAAGTGGATGATTGTTGTAGTTTTGGTATTGATATGGATGCAGAGTTGTCTGTAGTTGATGGCTGTACTGAACTAGCCAGATATTTCATAATGCATCTGCTCTGCTTTTTCATGCAGTATTTTATAAAGGCATCATCACCTGTTCCAGACTTTCACAGCATTACTTATAGCATGTCAGTGTGCCCTTTTTAATGGAAAAGCCTGCTAAATTAGCAGTAACATGGAATTTCTCGCATAACTCCTGCAGTATTAATTGTTTTTGTTCAGTCATCGTGTTCTTGCATCTGCCTCTAATTGGGAGTTGACATCGTCCAGTATTTCTCTGCAGTTGCTTCATCAACGCCTTCTAACAGTTCGATCATGTCATCGTCTGCGTATTTTGAAAGCATTCATGTCACAGTCCTTACCAGAGTCAGTTTATTTGACCTGACTACTTGCTGAGGACAAATAAGAAAACTGATAACCACATAGGCCATTATTTACCCAAGTTTACATTCATGGTTGATTGAGGCTTTTCCTGCCATGTTGGAGACCTATATAAAGATTATTTTAATGTGCATTTCACTGTATAAGGAAATAACATTGAAAGAGGTTTGCTTTAAAACATTGTATGTACAATTTGCAGGTCAACCCAAAATTTGAGTGATGGAAGCTATCCTGGTCTTGTTGGCCGTCATCCAAGTAACCCCAGCCTTGTGGTGGAAGAGGAACGCTACTACCAGAATGTGAACTTTCATCAAGGCCCCCAAGACTCGCGCATGGGGTCAATACGTACTCGTCCAATACAGGCACTACCAATGAGTTCTCCAGCATCACAAGACTCTTCCGAGCATGTGCGACCTGATCCTCGGGCAGACCATCGACCAGCTTCGGCTTTCTTGCAGCGAGAAGATTTAATACAGCACAGATCAGAATTACACCGTCCAGCCTCTCAGCGTGAACTTCGTGCTGACGCAAAGATGCTAGAAATGACAGAAGAAGTGCGACGACGAGAGGAACGGGCACGACATAATGGCCATCCACCATCATCTCTGCCACACCGATCCAGCCAGAACCAGCCACCTCACCACGTGCCAAATTCTATCCCTACTGCAAGTACTCCCTTCTCACCTGATGGTTACAATGGCATACAGGGTTTACCAAATCAACATACTGCTTATCACCATACTCAGTCACAACCACTTAGTCCACAGGGCACAGTGACAGGGCTCCAGCAGATTCCTAGGCATGCCCATCCACAATATAGTACGCATGGACAAAATTTATCCAGTAAGCTTCCTCCTCCAACAGCCCCCAAACCAAAATCACAGTCTGGATCCCAGGGTTCTGTATTACCTGAAGCTCCAGAGAAACCCTCACGGCAGTTTGGATATGAAGGAAGTAATTCAGTTGATGGACCTCCAAGACCGCCACCACCAGAGGAAGGGTATAGAGAATCTCCTCCACCACCACCACCCCCTACTTCAACTCATCCTCTTCTTCAGGGCAACCGACCTGCTTCCACTGTAGGCCCTTCAAGTCAGTTACCTAGTAAATCAGCCTTCAACAAGACCAGTCCATGGGATAGAGAACAAAAGGAACTGGTAAGAACTTGTGTATACTTTGTTTTTTCTCATAATAATAATAGTTGTAATGTGTGTCACAAAGCTAAAATCAAGATTCAATCTTTTATTTTTTTATATTTTTGCAATAGCTTGTTTATAACACCTTATGGGCTTGTCAGCAATTATGAAAGCCTTTTTTCTTAGTTTAATTTTTAGCATGTGTATGCATGTATACTCACACATATATACATATGCACATACATACATGTGTACATATACACATCTTTCTTTCAATACACCGGCCTTATCCCACCGTGGCGGGGTGGTCCAAAAGGAAAAATGAAAGTTTCTCCTTTTACATTTAGTAATATATACAGGAGAAGGGGTTACTAGCCCCTTGCTCCCGGCATTTTAGTCGCCTCTTACAACACGCATGGCTTACGGAGGAAGAATTCTGTTCCACTTCCCCATGGAGATAAGAGGAAATAAACAAGAATAAGAACTAGAAAGAAAATAGAAGAAAACCCATAGGGGTGTGTATATATGTGCTTGTACATGTATGTGTAGTGTGACCTAAGTGTAAATAGAAGTAGCAAGACATACCTGAAATCTTGCATGTTCATGAGACAAAAAAGGACACCAGCAATCCTACCATCATGTAAAACAATTACAGGCTTTCGTTTTACACTCACTTGGCAGGACGGTAGTGCCTCCCTGAGCAGTTGCTGTTTACCAACCTACTACCTATAGACATATATACATTCTTTCTTTCAACACACTGGCCGTATCCCACCGAGGCGGGGTGGCCCAAAAGGAAAAACGAAAGTTTCTCCTTTTACATTTAGTAATATATACAGGAGAAGAGGTTACTAGCCCCTTGCTCCTGGCATTTTAGTCGCCTCCTACAACACGCATGACTTACGGAGGAAGAATTCTGTTCCACTTCCCTATGGAGGTAAGAGAAAATAAACAAGAACTAGTAAGAAAACAGAAGAAAACCCAGAGGGGTGTGTATATATATGCTTGTACATGTATGTGTAGTGTGACCTAAGTGTAAGTAGAAGTAGCAAGACATACCTGAAACCTTGCATGTTTGAGACAGAAAAATGGACACCAGCAATCCTACCATCATGTAAAACAATTACAGGCTTTCGTTTTACACTCACTTGGCAGGACGGTAGTACCTCCCTGGGCGGTTGCTGTTTACCAACCTACTACCTATAGGAGAGCAGATGATAGAGTGGGAGAGGCACTGTCAAGAAATTTTAATGAAAATAAGAAAAAATTTTGGAGTGAGTTAAACAAGTTAAGAAAGCCTAGGGAAAGTATGGATTTGTCAGTTAAAAATAGAGTAGGGGAGTTAGTAGATGGGGAGATGGAGGTATTAGGTAGATGGCGAGAATATGTTGAGGAACTTTTAAATGTTAAGGAAGAAACAGAGGCAGTAATTTCATGCACTGGTCAGGGAGGGTTTAAACCATCTTTTTCGAGTGGGAAGAAGAGCAGCATGTAAGGTGGGGAGGTACGTGAGGCATTACGTAAAATGAAAGGGGTAAAGCAGCTGGAACCCGATGGGATCATGACAGAAATGTTAAAAGCAGGGGGGGATATAGTTTGGGGTGGTTGGTACTTTTGTTTAAAAAAATGTTTTGAAAGAGGGGAGGTACCAGGGATTGGCAGAGAGCATGTAGTCCCTTTATATAAAGGGAAAGGGGACAAAAGAGATTGTAAAAATTATAGAGGAATAAGTTTACTGAGTATACCAGGAAAAGTGTACGGTAGGGTTATAATTGAAAGAATTAGAGGTAAGACAAAGTAGGGTTGCGGATGAGCAAGGAGGTTCAGAGTGGGTAAGGGATGTGTAGATCAAGTGTTTACATTGAAGCAATATGTGAACAGTATTTAGATAAAGGTAGGGAATTTTTATTGCATTTATGGTTTTAGAAAAGGCATATGAAAGAGGGATAAAAGGAGAAATTTTGGGGCCCGTTTTAAAAAAGGTATATGGAATGGGTGGAAAGTTTTTAAAAATGCCTGAAAAGATTTTTTTATGGGGAAAGTGGGGCTCAGGTTAAGGGTGTGTAGAAGAGAGGGACCCTATTTCCCCCCCCCCCGGAAAAAGTAGGCCCTTAACGGGGATGTGAAATGTCACCAGGGTTTTTTTAAAAATTTATATTTATAGATGGGGTTTTTTAAAGGAAGTAAATGCTAGGGTTTTTCGGGAGAGGGGTGGGTTTAAAATTTTTGGGGGAATAAAATTCCAAAAAGGGGAATTGCCCACTTTAATTTTTTGCTGATGATACTGTGCTTATGGGAGATTTTTAAAAAAAAAAGCCAAAAAATTAGTGGATGAAATTTTGGGGAAAGTGTGTAAAAGGTAAAAAGTTGAAAGTGAAAATAGAAAAGAGTAAGGTGATGGGGGTCAAATGATTTAGATAAAGAAAAATTTTGGGAAAACAAAATTTGGGGGGGAGTTGGAAAAAATGAATTTTTCAGATACTTGGGAGGGTTTACGTGTCAGGATGGAAATTTGAAAAGGGTGAGGTTAAAAACATAGAATTTTAAAAGGGAAAAAAGGTTAAGGGGGGCGTTTAGGGAATATGTGGAGCCCAAAAAAATTAAACTATGGAGGCAAAAAAGGGAATGTAAAGAAAAATATAGTAGTAAACCAAACAACTCTTAATGGGTTTAAGCTTGGGGGGTTTAAAAGCAAACACGAGGAGAAAGGGTTTAGGGAGTGGAGATGGGCCTGTTTTAAAGGCACTGTGTGGTGTAAATATTTTCAGAAAAAATTTAGAGGGGGAAATTGGGGTTTGGTGGGTTAAATAAAAGGCCGTCAGGGCCGAAAAGGGGTTTTTGAGGGGTTGGCAAAATTTGGGAATGGGCAAAGAGAAGCCCGTAAAGCAAAAAAATCATAGGGGAAGGGAAGGCGGGGTAGGGGTTTTGTCCTCGAAAGGGGTTTTTGGGGAGGGGGGGGTAAAGGATGGGTTTTGGGGCAAGGGGCGTGACTTTCCCGCAAAACCCTTGCTGAGCTTAATAGGGGTTTAATGGAGACGAAAGGGACTTGGGGCCCTGACATCTGTTGGGGTGAGCAGGGTAAAATTTAGTGAAAGGGGTTCAGGGAAACCGTTAATTTTTAATAGTTTAAAATTGAGTCCCCGGAAATGGGAAAATACAATGCCTTTCACCCTTTAAAAGGGGGGGTTTTGGGGTATTGGCAGTTTGGGGGGATATTTGTGTATCTCTAATTGTAAAGCTTCTTTAAACCCGTTTTTTTTTCTGACACCTCGCAAAAACAGTGATAATGTGCCAGTGGGGAAAGTGTTGAAAGATGAAAGAATTTTTTTTTTGGGGGGTTTTTTTTCTTTTTTGGGTCCCCCCCTGGGCCCCGGGGAGACGGCCGACTTGTTTGAAAAAAAAAAAAATAAAAGTATAAGTAAATAAATAAAACACCAAAGAAAAATGTTAATTGGCTGAATAGGGGGGAAGATGTTTTTCAGAGGGGCATTTGAAAATTTTGAAGTCCCGTACACTTTTTTCAAGACAGCCATTGAAATAAATGTTTTGGGGAAAGTGCCCAAAAAGGGGGGGGAAAAAAAAAAAATTTTAAAAAATTAAAAAATTTTTAAGGGTTTGGGAAAAACCTGAAAGCCAGATTGTGGACCATTGTGGCCTAACTCAAAATTAAGAAGTGCTGCAACAGTGTGTGACTGCAAACCTTTATGGAGAAAATCCCCCGACACAGTTGCAAGCCGTGCAGGCATATACAATGACAGTGTTATGGCCCATTTTAGACAATCGTTAAGGAACGGGAGGTACAGAGCTCTATGGACAGATTTGTTGTGCGACAGAGGTCCGTGACTCTGAAGCTGTCCAGTGGCATTAAAGAATAGAAGGGACGTAACCCCGGAAAAGGACTCTACCTCAGTCCTAAGGAGGGGATCCCTTTTAAAAAAACTCTCTCCCCCTCACCTTCCCATCATCACAGCCTTCAATAAAAGTAAAGTGTCATGATTGTGCATCTGTTTTCAGTTGTGTGTACTAAAAACATTTTTTGTGGTAAAAATTTTTTTTCATACTTTTTGTGTCTGCACGGATTAATTTAATTCATAATTTCTATGGGAAAATTAATTCGCATAGCGAACATTTCGATAAACCCCCTTTCTTGCACGGATTAGTTCGCTTGCAGGGGTCCACTGTAAAAGTAAATAAATAAAACACCAAAGAAACTGGTTAATTGGACTTGAAGTAGGGGTGAAGATGTTAGTCAGAGGGTCATTTGAATTATGATGTCAGTACACTTTTTGCAAGACAGCCATTGAAATAAATGTTGGTGAATGTGTTGCATGTGTTTGCCACCACACAAAATAATGTTTGTCTGTCCTAAACCATTCCCCAGCACAGACAAACATATCCCAATTTTTTGTTATATTTAGTGGGTTAGTTATGAATTTCCCAGGCATAGTATTGTGACTTTTATTCTTTAAATTTAAAACTTCGTTTTTTAGCATGATCGCCGCCGGCGTGAAGCTGCTCGTCATTGGCGTGATGAACAGATTTCATCGCTGGAAAGTTTGCCTGTGCGCACATCTCAGCAGGACGAAAGACTACGAACGCTTCGCTTGGAAAGGGAATTTCAGCGTCGTGCAGAAGAAGCCCTTACAAATGAAGATGAGGATGAAGATGATGGTGATGATGATGACGATGATGATGTTGAGGTTTCAAATGATAATGAAGTTAGTCTGAGACAGGGCTCTCAGGATAGCATAATCAGAGAATATAGTAAACCTTCAAGTACTGCCTCAATCATCACTTCTGGGCAAGAGTCACGGATGAATGGTGGGGGACCTGCTGATGAAGAGCGTGCAAGAAAAGTAGATGAGATACGAAGGAAACAACAAGAGTTGGAAGCTGCAAGGGAAGTTGAAGAACGTCTCTTGCGGGAGGCACAACGTCGGCAGCAAGAAGAACAAATGCGGCGTTTTCAGCAGCAACACCAAGAACAGCAACAGCAGCAACTTCAGCAGCAACAACTTCAGCAGCAACAACTTCAGCAGCAACAACTTCAGCAGCAACAACTTCAGCAGCAACAGCTTCAGCAGCAACAACTTCAGCAGCAACAGCTTCAGCAGCAACTTCAACAGGGAGCTGCTCCTCAGCATCCACTCTATCAACATCAGCACCATGCAACACAAAGGCTCGACACTCTTGTTGCTACTCCATTCCACACACAGTATAGCAATGGTCCAATAAATGGGATAAGAGGGTCCCATAATAGTTATCCAGACAAAACTGGAATCAGTGAAGTCAGCCATCGTTTAGACACTGGAACAGCTGCAGCACAGCACAGCCCTATTCCACCAGAACGAGGCTCTTCCTATTCCATAATGCAACAACAAACAACAGTGACTACACAGCCAGGAACAAATAATCGTTACAAGGGTCAGGAAGTATCATCTGCAACTATCAAGCGTGTACAGTTCTCCGAGACCACAGCAGTAGATGCTCACATCACTTATGACAATAATGCAAACCAAGAAAAAACACCACGGCAGGACCCTAATGTAAGTTATATATAAAAAATTTTTCTTAATACATATTTTAAGAGATAGGAAGCCTAGCATGTTTGATTTTTTTTTTTTTTCTCTCTCTCTCTCAACAAGTCGGCCATCTCCCACCGAGGCAGGGTGTTTGAAATTATTAGTAGCAAATGTTTTTCTGGTAAGTTTTATGAAGGAGTGTTGCTATAGTAGTATTACAGAGCCCCATCAACTTAGCATTTTATATAATTTTTTGTTTGCTGTAGTGAATAACACCATCAAGAGGGTCCTTATTAAGCCTTTCATTCTGTCGCATAGATCTACATTATTGATGCCAGGGTCTCTTGCATAGATCTACATCTTGAGCTCGGCTCACTCAGATAAGCTGAAAGCCGTAAATTTTGCTTAGAAATGAGAGAATGGGTCTGTACAGTGTGTGTACACAGTTTAAAAAAATTCTGCCCTGCATGGTGCGTGAAGTGTTTTCTAGGATGGTTTTATTAGCTGCTTATTGGTATCAATTGATAGAATGGAAGACAAATTACTGAAATAGAGATCATTTTGGTTGGTTCCAGAACTGAAAGTAGTTTGAAATTGGCCTCAAAGTAGCAGAAAATATTAAAATTTTTCAGATTTTCCTGAGGACAGGTAAGGTGGCTCCTCCCTTACACCCCCTGATCTGGGTTTTTTTTTTTTTTTTTTTTTAGGTCTTATTCAATTATTTGGACACCATGGTCAATTATTTTTGGTTATATAGGAGAAGCCTAAGGATGTGTTAATTAACAAAGGAAATTTTTTTAGTTCCTGAAATGTCTGCAGTGTTTATTTTGGACTGTTTTTAAATTGGAATTTGTTTTTTAATTCTGAGTAAAACTGGCCAGATTACTTCTGTGCACTTATAGGGTAGTTTTCATAGTTTGTGCTCAATAGCTATATTCTGTTTGTGATCAACCATCATGCATAACAGTTATAGAATTACATCCTAGGTAGACAAAAAAAGGACTAAATCTACTTTCAAAAACTGTCACAATGTCACTTTGGACGATTAAACTAAATTTTTAACGATGAGCCATAAAGTCAGTGATTTTTAATTTAAGCTAAAAGGTTTTTAATTATAATAGTTAAGCAAATATATGGATGGCCTGTATTTGTCTACACACATTTCATGTGACCTACCCTCTTTTCATTTTCAAGCACATCAGATCATATTTTCAAAAGGCAAGTGTACATGTATATCTTTTTTTTTTATTATTATCATACTGGCCGATTCCCACCAAGGCAGGGTGGCCCGAAAAAGAAAAACTTTCACCATCATTCACTCCATCACTGTCTTGCCAGAAGGGTGCTTTACACTACAGTTTTTAAACTGCAACATTAACACCCCTCCTTCAGAGTGCAGGCACTGTACTTCCCATCTCCAGGACTCAAGTCCGGCCTGCCGGTTTCCCTGAATCCCTTCATAAATGTTACTTTGCTCACACTCCAACAGCACGTCAAGTATTAAAAACCATTTGTCTCCATTCACTCCTATCAAACACGCTCACGCATGCCTGCTGGAAGTCCAAGCCCCTCGCACACAAAACCTCCTTTACCCCCTCCCTCCAACCTTTCCTAGGCCGACCCCTACCCTGCCTTCCTTCCACTACAGACTGATACACTCTTGAAGTCATTCTGTTTCGCTCCATTCTCTCTACATGTCCGAACCACCTCAACAACCCTTCCTCAGCCCTCTGGACAACAGTTTTGGCAATCCCGCACCTCCTCCTAACTTCCAAACTACGAATTCTCTGCATTATATTCACACCACACATTGCCCTCAGACATGACATCTCCACTGCCTCCAGCCTTCTCCTATTCACTTATATAAGCACTGTAGCTGTAATGATTCTGAATAATGTGTCAGCATTTTGGATTATTTTATTAATTAATTTAATAGTTTTGCTGTCACACTAGTAATCAAAATTCTTCAATTTCTTTTTTGCCTTTTACAAGTACAGTGGACCCCCGGTTAACGATATTTTTTCACTCCATAAGTATGTTCAGGTGCCAGTACTGACCGAATTTATTCCCATAAGGAATATTGTGAAGTAGATTAGTCCATTTCAGACCCCCAAACATACACGTACAAACGCACTTACATAAATACACTTACATAATTGGTCGCATTCGGAGGTAATCGTTATGCGGGGGTCCACTGTACATCCAGATACAGCATATGATGTCGACATCTATTAACACGTCCAACTAAGCTAGAAAAAATCCTTTACTTCATTATGCATGCTGAAAAATGTTTGTCACTTATACATTTCTCTTTAAAGCTATTTTTGTTATAGTATTAATTTCTCCAATTATTAAATTGTTAAAAGACACTGCTTATGGAAAATGGCATATATCTATTGTTCAAAACAAGTAAGACTGTACTATGTAAAATGGAGTATCTTCTTAACCATTCTAATACACTTCAGTCATATCCAGCACTGACTAGAGTTGAAAAATTAATGTACAAATGGTTTTAATTCACAGAACTTCATCAATGAGGCAGAAACTCTCATGAACTCGTCACCCACTCGCATTGCTGGAGGTAGCACACCAGGTGTGATTGGGGCTCAGGAAGTATATAGGTAAGGCTAACCTTCCAGACTTACAGATTTCAAGGCATAGTCCTGACCTCTTGTTACTTGCAAGCTTGACATTTTATTCTCAGAATTTCTGTATACTGTATATCGAAGGTGAAACCATAGTGATTAACACAGCTGCAGCAAATCAACTGTATTGCCAGTTCAACAGTTAAACTTCTTACTGTAATCCCTCTTTTTTCATAAATTATTACCTCTCGATGGAGCTTCCTTGATGCTAGCAAGAGGCTCTTGATCCAAGGAATTGAACCTGATCTCCCCTACCCTGGATAGAACCTGATCGACTCCTATTACCTTAGGTGCTGTACATTTCTAATGGTTAAAAGTTTTCCCATTTCCCCCATGAATATAATAGTCATATGAGGTATCTATTTTTGGAACTTTGCTGTCTAATGCCTCACTTTGAAAAGTAAATTGTTTACAATAATTGTTCTACTTCAGATAGTTGTAAATATTTAAGAAAAAAAGCTCGTTTAAAACTTATTTTAAAGCTCAAATAACCCACAAATAAAGGAGAAACTTTAAGACATCTGTCCATTGTCTCAGCTTTTCAGTGTAAGTGTGGCTTATTTGTGAATTGTTCTATCCAGGGTATTGTGACTTTCATTCTTAATTTAAACAATGTTTTACATCATACTTCTAAATTTTATTACATAATTTGTTGATAAAGTGTGGTGGCATATTTTGGGGTTAAAAACTCCACCTCCCTTTTCAAACTTGCTGTTTGCCAGATTCACACACTCCTAGCCTTGTAGATAATGTTATAACTATTTAAACTATGTAGGGAATCTTCCTCCACTTCTTTGTCAAGGTTGTTCCACTTTCTGACTATCCTTAGTGAGGAAATACTTTTCCTACATCACTGTGACTCGTCTGTCTTTAACCCTTCCACACAGATCTGTTATTGATGCCAGGGGTCCCCACATAGAACTGCATTTTGACCACTGTTCTCTCAGATAAGCTGTGGTGGTAAATTTTGGCCTAGATATGAGAGAATGAGTCTTTGTGGTGTGTGCACAACATAAAAAAAATCTCCCATGCGGAGCGTGATGGGAAAAGCAAATACAGCCTTTCCTCACTTACCGATGCACTCGTTTACCAAGAACTTGGGTCATGATGGGCAAAACAGTGTCTCAGCATCAAGCATCGCAATCTCCTTCCTACAGCCACTCGGTACACTAGCTTTCACAGTCTCCAAGACTACATACTGTATTTGTACAAATTTCCTATTGTTTTTCCTCTTGGAAGTGGAAAATGGAAGAAATACAAAACAACTTCATAGTAAAGGGGTTAGTGATACATTTCAGCATCAAGCAATCTCCAAGACTACATATTTTGTCTATAAATTTGTACTTTATTGTGCATCCCATAGTAGAAGATAGTTAGAAGTGCAGTAGCACTTTAAAGAGGAAAATGGAAAAAGTATAAAAGTTCATAATAAAGGGGTTAGCTCGTGTGTTCGTACGTGTATTTACATTTTCGGTGTATCGTGGCAGCTTAAGAAATGATTAAACTCGGTGAACAAGGTATGTTGATGGTAATAATAATAATAATAATCACTCTGGAGTGCTTTAAATGTCAGCTACCGAACCTATACAACATATGTATGACATTTAAAGTGCTCCAGAGCGAATATTAAGTATTATAAATTATTACCATCAACATACCTTGTTCACTGAGTTTAATCTTTCCTTAAGATGCCATGAGACGGAGAGCATAGCATATGACTCGGAAAAAAAAAAAAACGAAAAAATCACACTATTCTTGCATTTTTCTTGTGACAGGAGTGATCTAGGAGTGTTTGCCCTGATGGAAACACTGTTTTCTTTTGTTGTAGATCAAAAGTACAGACGAGAAAACGTATCTATCTTATGATCTTATCCCAGAGCAGCAGCCTCCACCATCTACCCCATTCACATATGGCATACATTATTCAATTCAGCATCTTTATTACAATTCTAGGGTATATATCATGTTTCTGATAACAATTTGGAATAAGTGTGATAGATAACCTTTATTACTAACTCTCTCTCTCTCAACACATCGGCCGTATCCCACTGAGGTGGGGTGGCTCAAAAGGAAAAACAAAAGTTTTTCCTTTTGAAAAAGGAAAAGGAAAAACGAAAGTTTTCCCTTTTACATTTAGTAATATATACTGGTTGATCAGGCTCTGATCCACCAGGAGGCCTGGTCTCAGACCGGGCCGCGGGGGCGTTGACCCCCGGAACTCTCTCCAGGTAAACTCCAGGTAAAACTACCCCGTGCTCCCAGCATTTTAGTTGCCTCTTACAACACGCATGGCTTATGGAGGAAGAATTCTGTTCCACTTCCCGTGGAGATAAGAGGAAATAACAAAAAAGAACAAGAAAGAAAATAGAAGAAAACCCAGAGAGGTGTGTATATATGTGCTTGTACATGTATGTGTAGTGTGCCCTAAGTGTAAGTAGAAGTAGCAAGATGTACCTGAAATCTTGCATGTTCATGAGACAGAAAAAAGGACACCAGCAATCCTACCATCATGTAAAACAATTACAGGCTTTCGTTTTACACTTGCTTGGCAGGACGGTAGTACCTCCCTGGGCGGTTGCTGTCTACCAACCTACTACCTATTTTATTACTAATATTAGTGTAATTACATATTTTATTAGTGCCATGGCTAACGTCTGACATCCATGAAGACTAACGGAAAGCTCCTGCGGGCCTCTCCGTCTCTCATTTAGATCCTCCCGCTTCGTAACAATGTTAGATGGTGAATTTAATGCATAAGACAGAAAAAATAAAAAAATTTGAAATTCACTACATGTTCAATGTATATTACCCGCCGCATCATAAAAATAATTTTTATAAAATGACTATAATTCTTTGTAGAAACATGGTACAAAGATGATACTTATACCAAAATGTTGCCAGATTCTTAAGCTATTTTTCTGTAAGCTTAATTAACTTGTATGTGTATTTTACTTTTTTATTGTTTTCCATAATATGAGTTATACAAATTAAAATAAAGTTATCAAGTTGGAGTTTCATTTTTATTTTATTTTTTCTTACTAATATATGTGTTTAATTCACCATTTGGCATTGTTACGAAGTGGGTGGAGCTAGCTATAGGAGAGAGGGAGAAGCGAGCAGTGTCTCAGTAACTTATGATTGCCCATGTAAACTCATGATTGCCCATGTAAAATATTTATAATTATACTATTACTATCAATAAAAGTTATCAACCTATCATATTTATTCCAGAATAATATTAGGT